ATAAAGTTAAACTGGTTTATGCTGTATTTCATGTGTACTTATTCATTTGGTGCTTCCCTCACTTTTTTCTTTTATGTCATTTCAGGGAAGTGATAGAGAAAAAGCCAGAAAAATTCAAAGTTCAGTGTTTGACAGACATAAAAAACTTGTTTTATCCCAACACAGAACCCTTTTATGCTGCTTTTGGAAACAGACCCGCTGTGAGTAATAGCTGAAATTATTTTTTGCAGAGAACAGAAATGTTGCTGTTATTTCACAATTCTGTTGCATTAAAAATGAAAAGCTTTAAATGGAACTAGAGAATATTTTATTAGGCCTTGTACAAAGGATAAAAAAAAGTTCTTCCTCCAAAATATCACAGTGCAGAGGTGGAAGAGCAGCAAACCGACTACATTATATCTACATAACTTAGCATAACACTAAGTACTGATTTAAACCCTAACTATGTAGTAAATAAATCCTTAAGCATTTGTGAAAATACTGGTACCATTTCACTGCAGCTGGTACAGTACCAGTGAGTTACCTGTGGACAAACACCAAATCCTTTTATATGAGCATCAGTGGGACTTAGACTTCAAAACACAATATTTAGAAGGATTTGGATGTCCCATTTGAGGGACATTCTGCTTTGTGGAGAGACCTATGTGCTTCTTGACACAGAGAGAGGAAGTCAAGTTTCTCACACATTCGAAGACTAAAATTGTGCTGTATGCTTTTCTTACTCCTGTCCTGGCCCAAAGGATGCTTACATGTATCCGCAGAAGGCAGCAGCCTTAGGGAGGATGCTGAGACTTCATATAAGCTAAGCAAAACTGGGACAGAGGCACCTTGACGTGTGATCATCCTTTCTTTTATACTGAAACCATGATCTGAAAAATGGTTTTGGCTCAGGAAGTAGCACTCTTGAAGTTTTTACAGTGTCAGTGGGCACCTAAGTTAAGCAGATGGAACTGTTATTTGTGCCCATGAGCCCTGCAGAGCGTTTGCTGCTTCCTCCAGCAGTGTATTGGTGAGTGGTATTTTCAGTGGAAACTAATGTGTAGTATAGGGCAGCCTGTAACATGGCCTTGAGAGAATGGTCCTTGACCCTTCCTGTTCCCTGTTATAACTAACCAGTTGGCTCCTTCCTCCTTTAGTTGCTGGAGAGAAATGGAACGCTTCTCGAGGGTGATTCAGGCGCTCTCCACTGACTTTACAAGATCTGAAAGCTCTAGTTAAACTTGAGCATGGAATAGATTCCAGCCTTAGCTGTTCAGCCTGCAAGACCTCAAATGCGTCTACTGGCTAAAACATTGATAGCTCGAGGAAATCACCAGCATAAATATGGACACCAGCCATAGTCAGTGTGAATGAGAACATTTAGAGACTAAGTATTTTAGATGCTTAGATGTTTGGATGAAGGTGCCTGGCAAGATATTTTGGCACTGAAGCCATGCACGTTGTAGCTACATTTGAGAGAGTTCAGCATGCCTTTCTGCTGGAATTCATTCTTACAGTTCAATCACATTTTTCCTAGGGTTGCTGGTATTTATGAGCAGTAACATTTTTTTTTTTTTCAGCTTCATCTTCTAACGAGTTACATAATTCAAAAGTATTGTCAGTGAGGATAGGAAGGGGGTCCCCGTTGACTGACCAGTGTTTTATCTGTTTGTTCCATCAAACACAGTTTAGTTTCCCCTATCAAGGTAACTTTAGCCATATGGTTTCAAAATTAATATTTTGTCTACTTTGTGGCTTCGTATTTTAGATGAACCTCAGAGTAAAACAAAATCATTATTTTCGTGCATGCATCAATAACAACTTCAACTAAAGCAGAAAATTAGAGTTTCTAAAGAGATTACTGATATCTCTTTCATTGCTGTTTCAGATGTTAAATACAATTAGGCTAGTTGCTTTGTGAACATCAGGATCATAACTTTCTCAATTTCCTACTTTTGCCACTTTTTTGTTCTTTCCCCAAATAAACTCAGTGGAATTTCAGTACTTGCAAGCATTACAGGTGCACATAGCATACTGCATGGTATAGAAATTAAAATTGTTTGCATCTCTTCATTAAACTTCCAATCTTTCACCATCTGAACTTTAAAACTATATCCATGGCAGCTAGGCCTGATCTTTTTAATCTTAATTTTGTCAGTGGGTTTTTTTTTGTTTGTTTGTTTTTTTTTATCAGAACTTTTTCATGCTTTCTGTAATAATTTGAATTTCTTAGAAGATATTCTTAACCCTTGCTTCTGATTGCTCTCTATAGCGTAGAATCATAGAATGGTTTGGGTTGGAAGGGACCTTTAAGATCACCTAGTTCCAACCCCTTGCTACAGGCAGGCACACCTCCCACCAGACCAGGGTGCTCACAGCCCCGTCCAGCCTGGCCTTGGATGCTTCCAGGGAGGGGGCATTCGCAACTTCTCCAGGCAACCTGTTTCAGTGCCTCACTACCCTCATAATAAAGAATTTCTTCCCAGTATCTAGTCTAAATCTCCCTCTCCCAGTTTAATTGATTCCCACAGTTGTATCTGTGTTACCTCCCGGGAATCAGAACTGCAGTTATAGTGTTTATACCTTGCTTTCCCTTTCTCTGATACAAAGTCAATTTATGGATATTGCACCAAGCACAAGAACTGGGAGATGTTTCCAGGGGTTTAAATAAACAGTTGTTATAACTTTCTTTTATGACCTTGTCCTTACAAACTAATCACTATTTTATGTCAGTTATGTTTTAGCATTGTTGCGAGATATTCAGTACAACACACTTGGGGAATGAAATATTCTCTGAAAGAAAAATGGAAGTGCAAATATTTTTTACCTCCAAATAATTAGGTTTTTATTGAATGTTATTTTTGTGTCAAGGGAATTAACTGAGAAACAACATGATTTTGATCAATAGTTTAAATTAAAGTGGCAAACTCCATACTTCACTGCAAATTGTCTGTTTCATGAGCTCATCATTACGCTGAGTTCAAGTTTGCAAACTTTTAGAGAATTTCAGATCCACAGTTGATAGATACAGTAACAATACTATGCAGATATATTCTATGTAATATATTTCAGGATGAATGCTACTATACAGAGACAGAATCATAATCCTTTTTAATTTTGCCTTCTATTTAGGATGTTTACTCATACAAACAAGTGGGTGTTTCTTTAAACCGAATATTTACAGTCAACCCCAAAGGAGAACTTATACAAGAACATGCAAAGACAAACATCTCATCGTAAGTAATCTAATCCCTACACTTTATAGTCTAAATTAATTTCCTTTTATAACCTATGACTCAACTTGCCCAAAGATGGATTTAATTTTAGTAATGAAAAAATATTTAGGATGTGCCAAACAAAATATTAAGTAAAATAAAGTGCAGACTTTCCACACTTTTCTGGTTAAACTGATACAGAAATTGTTTCACATTTAGTGTAACATATTCTATCTAGTCTACTCCTGAAAAGGAATAACAAGTGTACAATTTAATCTGCATAGAAAATATTTTAACCAGTTTTGTGAAGCCATCTGCCTTTTTGTGACCTTGTCAAAATTTCCTTTTCCTGAAACTTCTGTGTAGAAGAGCTAGGGAAAAAAAGTGAAGGAAATACTGAAGGCTTCCATCAAGATGCTTAGGCATCTCGGTTGAAAAGAAAAGGCCTTGTGTAAAGTTGAGACTGCACTTAATGGACAGGGAACCAAAGTGAGCATATATGTGTATGACCAGTTGAGTAGGGAGCTGTTAGAGCCAAGCTGGACAGCAATGAAGAAACAGCATGTGGGGCCTGAATATCTCGACAGGTGATCTGGGCTGAAAATGGCACCTTGTTCTTTCTAGAAAAGCATTCATTCAAAGCAAAGGTGGATTCTGTATCTGAACTGTGAATCCTGTTTGGAAGCTAGACACCAAAATTAAACTCAATTTTATTCATTTAAGGAGTATAACCTGTTCGTATAGATACAGCCATGTCTTGACTGGGGACTTAAATAAATTGAACTACTATGATCTGAGATGGTTTGGTATTGCATTTATTTATTTGTTTTTCAGCTATGTCAGACTGTGTGAAGTAGTAGACCATATTTTCCCTTTGCTGAAAAGAAGACATTCTTCAGATTTCCCTTGTTCCGATACCTACAGTCAGTTTACCTACTGGAGGGAACCTCTGCCACCTTTTGAAACTCAGGATGTACATCCAGACTCATCTTAACTGCATCTCCAAACTGTCAGCCTCAGAGCAAAGAAAGCGCTTGCTCACGTTGCAAGAACATCATTTGGCTTTTACTGTTGACAGTTCAGCTGGAATCTGTGATGTTGTTTTCATTTGCTGTAAGCAAACTTAGAAATGCTTCCTCATACTTAGTCACACTTCCAGATGACAAGAGTGAGCTGTACCAGGAATGGGAGTTACATTCCTCACTCTTCACTCAGCAACTCAAATCATGCCGTGCAGTTTCATTACTTAAATAAAAGTGCAGTGATGATAGAGTTGCGGTTAGATCTGTCATAAGATCATTTAGTGGTTCTGTATCCTTTGTGTATCACTGAAGTTGTCTTTCATCTCATCAGACACCACTGTCAGCTGGGGAGTTGGAGGCACTTGCCAGTCCTAACATCATTTTGTGATACATGTTGCAGTCCGTATGCCAGATTCCACCCTCTGAAAGGGCAAATGATTGAGCAGGGGGATTGGATCAGATGGCTTCCAGAGGAACCTGAACTAATTACTGAACTAGGTCCTCAGCTGTTGTGAACTGGTGTAGCCATCAGTGCCAGTGGAGCTGTGTTCATTTATTCCATCCTACTATTTTGATCTGATAACACTTTTCTGTGTGGAAATAAATCATGTGCAATATAAATGGAAAGTAAAATAAATAAGATGACCTGATCCTGCTAGTCATCTTACTGAGAAGTAGTGCACTTCAGGAAAAGCTATTTGGATTAAGATAAGTGTGACGGTGTAAGATGCAGGCTGCTGTGTGTAGTGCCCATCTTACTGGAGTCTGTGGTTTGGCTTCAGTGATTTTGTTTTTTCCTCAGTGAAGACGTCTTGCTCAGCATATGTGCTGAGTTTCAAGACATTGCTGAGCCAAGAGAACTGAGGATTTTGTCAAAATGGAATAGTTGTATTTGAAACATTATTTTTGGATAAATGTGAACTTTGATGCTGGTGAGTGATGCCTCTCAGGTTTTTACTGTATGGATTTTTTTTGTTTTTGTATCATAAAGAATGGATACTTTAGTGCCATTTACTTTCTCCAAGAGACTGAAATCTCCTCTTCCATATTTTTTTCCACTCATTTGTTCAGACACAATCTGTATGTACTGTTTTTGCTACTTGCTCTTATCTGCCTTAAGATTTAACTATGTGTGATAGAAGCAATACTGCAGATCAGTTGGTAGTGTTTTCCAAATGATCTGCCTTTATACAATGTGGTACTTTGCTTTAAAATGTACGCATCAAATAATGACCATATGCCAAATACTTCTTAAATTGAACTTGTAGCTAAGAAAGTGATGTTTTTCTCCTCTTTTTAAAGTACAATTAAAAATCTAATTGTTCTCTGAAACACTAAAAATGACATCATGGGATTCTGTGTATGTAGGATTTCAGTGTGGCTGAAACAGTGGTTTGCAAGCTGTGGTCTCTGCCGGCTTGTGATCTGTGAAGCTGTGATGCACGTTTTGCAGCTATTTTGCAGTGTTTTCAATTAAGAGTTTAGGCAGAATGGTCCAGGAGAAATTTTAAGATGTGTTTGTGGTTGATTAGCACCCAAAGGTTTGGGAACAGCTGTTCTGTATCACATTTGTTCTCTTTCAACAAATTCTGCTTTTGCATGTCAAAAGAGTGATAACAATATAGTTAGGATGGTAATTCTATAAATGGGGCTTTCTGACTTTTAGTGCTGCAGACTTTATCTGAGATGTCAGGGGGCCAATTTACCATTTTCCTGTGCCTTCAATAGTAATTACTAAGCACAGCCCTTTGCACAGCTGCAGTGTGCACAGCTGCAGTTGTGCAGTGGTGAGCCCTCCGTCTTCCTTTTTGCATGAACGTTGCTGGTTCGGAGTACATCCACTTTGGAGATACTGGAATTAATAGACAAACACAAAGAGGAAGAAATGTGTGTTCAGTAACCCAGACTGATTATGCTCTCCTTGCAAATTTAATGAAAATGCAAATTGACTGTCAGAAAGCCTGTATCACATTTCTCAAACCTTTAAGACAATCAGTGAGGATCTCAGGTTACCAAGCTGAAATGGTTGCATCTCTAAATATAGCCACAGTTTCTTTCAAGTATCTGTTTATAGTTGTCACTAATGATTGAATTAATGGATGAATACACTGATTCCTATTTAATTCAGTTTTGGCAATGGTCTGTTTCAATCCATTTGTGATGCAAAATTAAACCAACCCTTCTTTTCGGTCAGAAGCTGTCAATTTTTTTATTCTTCATTTGCACACAGCAACTTCTGCCATAAGAAAAATTCCAAGAGATATCTGCAACTGAAGCCTGTGTGGTTTTTATTTATGACTTAAACAATCCCAGATAACAATCCCTATTTTTCTATTTCATCGGAGTGTATTTCAACCCAAATAGTGTGAACAGTGGTTTGTTTTAATTCTGTCACTTTCATAGGCATAGAGCCACCCTGGTACAGGTAGGTCTGAGATGCTGTGAAATCCCCACCTGGAGGTTTTTTTTTTTTTTTTTTGGACTTGGTTAAGAGGGCTGGGTCTGACTTGGTCTCATATTGCCAAACATCTGCTGCAAGCATGAAGTTGGACTACATGACCTCCAGGGGTCCCTTCTGACCAACATTTCTATGGTTCTGTGACATTAACGCCTCATGTATGACAAATGGTATATCCCCCTTTGTATCTGAAAGTTTAAATATAGCTGAAGAGGAAAACAAATGTGTTTATATTATAACTTGTGCTTATCAAAATTGCTGACTAAAAAGATAGTTAAGAAAATCCAAGTTTTGGCCTGTTAGAAACATTGTTAAACTTTTGAAGAGAGAATAAGATATCTTGGTTTGGTAGCCGAGCAATTTTATGCGCAATATTTGAACTGCTTTATTAATTCATACGGAAGAAAAAAAAAAAAAAAGCATGGTTTAACAAATTCCTACTCTTTCTGTGAAAGAAAAAATCAACTTTCAGTGTAGTGCTGGTTTCTGTTACAGAAAGAATATTTGGTGAACGTAAATATGCAGGCACGTGAAATCGCTGCACGTTCTATTTATACAATACACACAAACCAGAATGTGCAGCAGTGAGGAGTGACTGATGTTTGTTTTTCATGGAGCTGATGACCATACTGCTCCAGCTGTGTCATTTGAGTGACAGAATACCACGCTTGGTGTATTAGTTGTGTTAAGGTTAAAATGTTACTGCTGTAATATAGGGTGAGAGGAAGAGGGTACTGGGTATTTTTATTTGTAGATATGGGTTATTATTTCACAGCCTATTTATATACAGTATTTACTCTGTGTATGTATGTGCTACTGCAATGATGAAAATCGTTTTAACGCCTCATTTTGATCTGAATGCAACATATATTACAACATATATTGTAATAAAGGCAAATATAAAAATTCTGACTTCTGTTCTTCTTTTTCTGTATGCTTTGATGTTGCAGGAGTGCTTTTGCAGACCTGCTGAAACTGTGAAGCACAGGGTTTGTATATCTGCTCTCAGCTGCCTGTCTCATACTGGGGCTGTCCAGTGAAACTTCTGGCACTTACGAAATTTTTGCTGTTACAGAGTTTGATCCAGAGCTTTTTCAACTGGAAGGAGTCTGAGAAAGACAAGGCCTGGTTCTGGGCTCTCACTGTTCTGGGATCTGAGAACGCACCTGGGAGCCAGGAGTAAACCAGACAGGAACTGGAGTGAACTGGGCAGTCAGGAATCTTACCCCGCCTCGGATTTTTCTTTATCTTTTTGTCTAATTCTTAGCATGATCTGGAAGACCAACAGTCTGATTGAATGGGATCATTGTGATGAATAGTACTGACCTGATAGCCTCCCTCTTCCCCTCCCTCCCTCCCTTTCTTTTTCTCGTTGTCATTGGCTATTCTGTTGGAGATGAACCATTTCCTCAAGTGTGTGAGAATGCAAAGCTGCTTTTTGCTCCCTCTGCTGGGTTTGCTGAACAAGCTAAGCACAGCCTTAGTGTCAGGCTGGTGTTGATATGAAAACAAAGATGTTTGGGGTTGATAAGGCTCTGCAGCAGCTAAAGTTCCCTGTTAAAAATAGAAAAGCAGCCGTATTTGGGCAGCCTGCACTCATTGCTTCTTCAGTCTTCTCTATTTTCTGTATGTCTCCGGCTTGAATAAACATTTACACTAGAGCTCTGGAGACGGGCTTTGAAATGAAGGTGCTTTTTTAATTAAAAGTCAGAGGAATTATGCTTTTGTCTCAGCAAACCAAACTTTATAAGGACATATTCATTGCTCCTGCAATATCTAATTAACACTAGAGGTAGAAAAGTCAGGGGAGCAAATCTCCTGAGGAGCAAAGACCATTATTTTCTGATGCCATGGAAGGTAGGGAATATTCCCAGACAGAATGCTATGTTAATTGGTTTCTTTTTAAATAAGTGTCTTAATTTGTGTTGCAGATACCACCAAGTACATCAGAATAGATTATTGCTAGTGGCAGAAGACTACTGATGCCAGGAGCCTAAAAATACAGCTTTCAACTAATTTCTGAATACGCAGAAAGGTGAAACCTGGTTGTATTAATTGTTACTGATTTATTTTTATTATATAAATGCTGCTGAAGGGCCTATACTCACAGTGCTGTAACCCTGTGATAGTCCTAATTCTTGTGCTTGATGTGAAAACTGTCTCCTCCTTTATTCCTCTACTGTGGCTGAGTGACGTGTGGAGGAGGTTAGTTGCAAATAAGAGACACAAAGTTGGCTCTAAAGAAAACCCAGCAGTGATACAGAGAGATGCTTTTGGGAAGAGATCCTCATCAAGATTTTCCCAGCCATTGGGATGTGATGGAGAAAAACAAAGGCAAAAGGAGAAATAAATTTTCTTCCAGGGGGAACTAGAGAATGGGAATGAAAGCCAAGTAAATGGCTAAAAGCAGCTTATTTCCAAGCCAGTGTTGAACCTTGGTTTGTAGTTAGCCAGATGTTGAGATGCATCCTAAGCAGTTTTGACCCAAATCTCATGCCTCTGCATTGAGCAGGGTAGGTGAGCAGGCCCTTTTTTCTTCATTTGCCCAGCAGGAGAGAAGCAGATTAACCAAAAAGCAATCCCTACTGACATGTCTGAGTGCTACTGCTAACAGCAAAATGAAGTTGCAACTACAGATGTACTTAAAATTTAGATAGATAGGATTAGAGCCTCTTTATGTATTTTTTCTTCTTCGTAAAATCAAGGAACAAAGCATCTATATGCTCTGCAGCACCTATAGCTCTGCAGTACCATACATGCACCCTTAGAGTAAGATTATTCTTGAAAATAACCGCAGTCTATTTAAGTGTACACTCAGCGACCTGCACTCAAACTTATGCATATTCTGAAGCACTTTGCTTGAGTCAGCTAATGCCAAGAAACCCGACTGGTGCTGGGGAGGTACAGTTTTCAAGCTAAAGTATTGATCTATTTTCTATTGGCTACTCTTGGACTGGTTTTTACCCTCTAGCACTGTCAGGTGTTCTGCTGACTGCCAGCAATCTATTTATTGATACAGGAAATCCATTTTGCCTTGCCTTGCTTTTAATGAGTTTTGCAAGCGAGTGGCCCCTTCCTGTGACTCAGTCTGCGTTCTCTGAGCAGGAGATTGTGGTTTTAAGTTTCACATTGGAGAATAACCGCTGTGTCTGCTTTCCTTGTCTGCTGGAATCTCAACAAGAGGAATACGTTTTGGAACAAAGGAATGTAAATGTAGCAGGAGAGTTCACATTTCTTTGCAAAATTGTATAAACATTCTCCTTTTCAGAACAGTTAAAAAGACTGATGCAAAATGAAAATAGGTCATGTTTTCAAATAATAACTTTTATCTCAGAACAGTGCTGCTAACACAGACCAAAAAGATGCTTTCACAGATTTCTCAATAGGTGTTGGTTCTTTGATTCATAACCAGTAAATATCCAAGAGCTAAACAGTGGAAGCCTTTTGTCTGATGGTGCTGGCATAGGACTAGCTCCATGAGCCTCTGCATGAGCGTTCAGACACATGCAGCTGTGGCTGCGACTTGGTGTGAACAGTGAGTTACACACTTGCACCCACCAATTCGTTTTGGACACTAGAAGCCAAGAGAAGGTAGAAGTGGATCTATTTGCTTCTGGCTTTTCTAGAGGATAGGGTAGAGGAAGAAGAGAATTATCTGCAGGCTTGGACCGTTAGCTCTGGAAATGTAGATTTACGTTAAAAGCAGCCATAAATACATCAAAACCAATGACCAGGACAGTTTCCATTCCCCATTACTAGATATAACTATTTATATTTCATGCTTAGTGAATATGCCTGTGCAAGTAAACAGCTGCCCAACAAGGGCAGGGACTGTTCCTTTCCACCACACCCAACTGGGTTGGTGCGTGTCCAAATAACATCCTGCCAAGTGGTGGCCATTTGCTGACCCTCTGCCTGTGTCTAGGCATTGCTTGAATGAGCATTGTGTGGGTGACAGAGCCCTGGCATAGATTATCCAGAAGCTGTGGGCTCTCTCCTTGGGGAGCTCCCAAGGCCATCTGGACATGGTGCTGAGTGCCCTGTTCTGGGTGTCCCTGCTGGATACAAACATCAAAGCTGTTACGTTCTCCACGTAAATCCTAGCTGGAGTGATAGTAGCAATGAGATATTAGGGCCTCCTCCTCCAGAGGGTTTAGGCTGGAGCTGAGCAATTTGTGTGGACTTGGAAAGGAACTTCAGTTCTTCTGTAGCCTAGTTTGATCCCAAGAAGAGGCACTGTCTGCACCTAAACTGCTTCTGCCTCTTTTTAATATTGCATGGGCTTACATTAGAGTGTGATATGGAAGCTGAGGCCATCTCTGGAGTTCTCCAAAATGCCTGTAAAGTCGAAAAGCTCTGCTAATGCAGACTTCTTAGAGAGACAGTGTGTAGGGGGAGGTACAGAAAATCATACTTGAGTGCAAATAAACACACTGGGAAAGCAGGAATTCAACAGGTCATGTTAAAAATGTGACCTTTCAGTTACCCAACTCAGCTGTCAAGTTCAAGGTAACAGAGACAAAGACTGGAAGAAAAAATTGCAGTTCTCAGAAACTGAAAAAAAAGTTTTATTGGGAAAGTACTGAGAGGAAAGAAACAGGGAGTGCTGAAAGTTATCATAGTCACTTTCATTTAAGAATACAGATATCAAATAAAAATTCAATGCTCTGTACTGTGGACTTAATTTCTGGTCCAGCTGCACTGTGAAGGGAAATAACATGAGAAATATTCTTATTTCTCAAATTAATGTGGGATGTGATTTTTGTTGGCTTTGTGTCAGTGCCAGTTTGCACTAGGATGGAATGACTTAGGAAGCTGTTCCATTGTGTGCACCCGCATTTTCTGCAACACTCATTTCTTCTCTTGCCCTGGGCTGCTACTCTCCACCTGCTTTCGGTTTGGAATCTCTTCAGTTTTTCTAATTCTAATGAATTCTTGTAAAAAAAAGGCTGTGGTTTCAAGAGCTAATGGTCTGATCCACTGGTTTGTCACTGCCTAAAGGTAAAAGTCACTTTCCATGTCTCCTCCCTTGTTCCTCCTGATTCTTCACTCCACTGCCACTCTGTACTTCTGGGACAGACTTATTCTGCACTAGTAGAGTTAACTAGACTCAGGGAGGGATCCAGTGCATGCCAGAATCAGAAAGTATATGTAGGGGAGCACAGGGATAGGAGGAAGAGGAGAGCTGGACTTCATATTTTTGTCTAAATATGTCTAACGAAACTGTAACATAATTTTCCCATGTCTATTTCCATACAGTGCCTTACTTCATCATTGTTTATATTAATCCTCCTATGACTGAGCACAGACCTTATAAAGTAACTTGCCTGTTATCCACCCGTGAACTTGAGAACGTGGATGTATCCACATCCAGATGGACCATGAATGCTGATGTACCACAAGTAAAGAAGTTCCAGGATCAAGACTACCTGCCCAAGACAAAAGGGCTGATGAGAAAACAAAAAGTTGGTTCCAAGTCAGGATCCAGCCCACACCCTGACCCACGTCTGTGTTGGTTGGGATGAATGCTTCGGTATACTTTGTGCCTTGGCTCTCTATGTTCAAGCTGAGGCTGGTGGCAGCTGCCTCTGTACCAGGAATGCTATGAGGACAAGGCCTTGCTGCCAATGAGATGCCAAGATATGAAACTGAGCGGTGGGAGGTGTACAAGGGAGGTATGTGAGTCACTATCAGCAGCTCAGCTTCTGAAGACCCAACTATCATAAGAAGTACTGTCCTCACTGTTTTCTGAGAGGAGAAAGAATTACTGTCTCCACACACTAACAGGAAACAAAAGGTCTTGGTAGCCTCAGCAACTTCAGCTAGTTTATGAGCCTGGTGCCAGGGTTCCAGGCACCATGTCAGCCTTTGGTGTGATTGGCACAAGGACTGAGAGGAAGCAGGTAACTCAG